GTGTTTTCGTTCCCATAGTTTGTTTAACTTGCCCAGCAGATCCAGTTTCCACTAGTTCGCTGTAAATCGGTTCAGACTAAAACACCGAACGACACCTGGTTCTTTGATACAATCAGTGGCTGCATGCGATCCACGATAGGCTGACATCAGCTGATGTCCACCCGAAACCATCGCGGTTCGGTCCGCAGGTCCGGGCACGGGCGCGAGTGGGCTTCTCAGATCGTCATCTCGAAGTGGGCGAAACCATATACACCTGAAATACACCATACTTGGTCCATGGGTTCGTCATGTTCCCAGAAAGCGACAAATGCTCAGCGCGTGTCAGGAAATAGGATCAGTTGGGGAATCGAACTAAGCTGACTCCGTCGTGTATCAATGCGGGGCTAATCAGGACTTCCAGCTGACTTGCAGTCATAGCCACACCCAGCTGCCGGCTGATGGTCACATCCTGGGTGGTGCTTTCACTGACCTGGCAGGAGCATCCTATCTGGGTGTCCAATTGACTACCCTGCACTGAGTGCTGCCCTGCTTAGGGATTTTCTTTGGACTCCCATTGGATGGATGGTCCAGGGATTTTTCAAGTGAGTTGAAAGCAACCTGAATTGGTTGTTTGGACCGAGGAACGCCTACGCTCCCACGGTGGCTGATGGCACCTTCTGGGGGGCTGCCATCACTGGTGCGGACAACGCTTCCATGGACGTCCTGCGGCTGGTTCCCAGCACGAGCAGTACGTTGAAGCGACTCGAAGTGGACGAAGTGGTTTCCATTCCCTATGAATCCACAGACTCTCTTTTTGAGGGTGATTGGAGTCACTTTTATGTAGCCTTATAGAGGGTCCAGCTGTACCGAGCCTGAGAAAGTATGTGGATCCATATAGGGCTTCTTCCGAAGCAGCTTTTCGGTCTTAGTCCCAAAAGATCTGTGGAATATCAATTGGTATTACCCTCGTGGGCCTTGGAAAGATGCTCTTTTCTTGGTCTCCCGGTGATGACAAAGAAGGGGATCCAGCAAAACCATTCCAATCCGAGGATGCACGGATGCACGGGCTTTTTGGGACACCTTTTGAGCCTAAACCCTAAACCCTAAAACCGACTCCTCCCAAACTGTGGGAGGGCCATGGAGGGACCTTCAGGATTCGACCCAGAAGGCATGTAAAAAACCTGGTCAATTGTTTTGTGTTTTGTATGTGTTTTGTTGAAGGTGTTTTTTCTAATTCTTGGCATTTCAACCAGCTGTTTGAACCAGTGGTTTTTAGGTTTGGTATTTTAACTCGTGTTCCTTTGATGTTTGTATATGTATGTATATGTATGATGTTTTATGTTTGTTCACTCTTTACTTGGGATGATGAATCCACTATCCTTCTGGCTTCAAACTCTCTCGCTGACGACCAGGTGGGGATGCAAGGGGATGACCCGAAGGTGCCACTAGTCGCCCTTGGCATCTAAAGACATTAAACAAATCATCTAGCCAGCCACCCACCAAAATAAAGGTTCTATTATACGTATTATAAGCCTCAGAGCTTAAAACATATTATAGCAGAATAGCTGGAACAGCCACAGGGACATGATGTATCTAAACAAACAATACTTGCATTTTTGAGGCGTGGTTCACACTCACACGGTGCTTCTCCAGCTACGTGGTGGCCTCTCCTGATAAGAATCACAGGTGCCTTGCTCTGATCCAATCAATTGTTCCTCCAACTAGAATCTCTGTAGCCCGAGCCCTACTATAGTCTATGGCCTTCCCAGATTCGGACAGAGAGAAGATTCTTGTGTTGGAAGCCCCTGTCAGGTGTCCGGTTAAAAACGGTCAGTTGGAATCCATCGAGAAGGGCCTAAAATTGCTGACATGAATCTATCCCTCCTCCTTTGCCGTTCCAAGGATGGAGGAGTGGCCTCCAAATTGCACGCCCTTGCACAAACACCACCACCACAGGCGCCCGGAGATATGGTCGAGTCTTTAAGTCGTTTGAAGCCGAATTGAAGTCGTTTCAAGCCCGCAAACGAGCTCCCCAGGGGTGGTTGGTCTTGGGGTGGCTGGTCATACCGTCACCGGGTTCGGTCGGGACGTGAGGTGGTGTCGCCGAGGTGAACTGTTTGGTTCCAAGTGCATCGCTACGTTCGAAACAAGTAGCTACGTTCGATCTACTAAGGCATCGCTATTAGTATAGCTTCTTGTCATTAGTAGTATTGCGCTTGTTACTAGTAGCGATGCACTTGTTACTAATAGCTTCTTGTAACTGTTTGCTCTGTATGAAGAGTGTTGGGTCATGATGTGTGAGTGGAGGACGAGCATGCGGGAGTCCATCTGAAGTTCTGTTTCCAACTGGAATTTCCCTAGGCCAGTGAGTAGAGTGATGCATGGATGTGAGAACTGTTGACCATCCAAGCCGCTCTACGATAATCTTAGATGATCTCAGATCCAAAATCTAAGATCCAAGACGCCGCGTGGTGGAGTGGTCCGACCTGGGCTGTCGCAACATGTCATTTTCAAGGTTCTCGGAATGTCCTGCTGTGTGGATTTCTTCACTGCGATCCACGTGAGCTATTCAATTGGATGGATCCACTATGATCCACTTCTCACTTCTCAAAGATATATATATATATAAAGGATTATGAAGGTATTTGTGTTCAGCAGCATTTAACTATACCTTTTACAGATGCCTTTAACCTCGAGCCATCAAGGCTTTCTCGATAGACTGTGGGCAGCCAGAGCTCAAAAAGAGGCTCTTTGAAGTCGGTTGAAGCATACATCATCCATAAAAGCAACTTAGTTGGACACCATGCTATGGCATGTCAAGAGATATTACCACCTTACATTAGATCGGAAGTGCACGACCCTGCACAAACCTGGTACATGCTCTGTGTGTGAAACATGAAAGCCGGATGCTACCTATCACGACTTTCCTATCCCTGACATTCTCTCAGATGGGTGTGTATTAAAATAGGGAGACCTTCCGAGGACTCCCTATTATATAAAAGGGGGAATAGACCACCGTCTACCCATTGGTTGAGGGTCTCCCTTTCAGGCTCATTCTCTGGAGACCCCGCAGCTCTCAGTGCTGAGGTAAGACCGCCGAACAAAAGACCTCTTGATGCTCTGAGTCTTCGTTAGGTCGGCGAGATCGCGCCAGGAAAGGTGTCCCAGCGGCGTCAAAATCGGCGCAGTTCAGTAACTATTGTTCCCAAGTGTTCAATATGTTCCAGGCTGGGTAGAAAAAGTGGGGTTGGTATGCTTGGTTTCAGAAAGAAGCTTCAGCCTTCGGCAATCTTCAGCAGCCAGTGATGGCTTACTCTGGAGTCACCTGTTTCAACAGACCCTTTTTATCATGTTGATCTACCTTTGGATTTGTGATACAGATCTTCCCGCCACTGTTTCGTAGAGGCCCAGCCTCATCCGGTGGCTTCTCCGCCTCATCAAGTATCCGTCGATCTGTCGAGGGGATTCCATGAAAGGATGCATATACCCTAGGCCTCCAGTCGTACCTTCTGAGAAGGTATGACTGGACCCTCCGGGCAGCCACCCCAAACACCTTCTCAGAACGTACTTGGAGGCCTACAAAGGCCTTTACTAAGCATCATCATCCACCCAAGGCATAGTGATGATGGTTCCTTTTCCCTTTCCTGGTTCTGGTAGCTGAATATCGCGGCGTGTTTCCCGAAAGAAAGACCAGCACAGGCCAGCGCGCAAAGCGGTGTTCGCTATATTTCTCCTGGTGCGAGCGCCTCCGTGGTTTTTGGGCAAGTGGCTGGCGCCTCATGCGATTTCGAACGTGGCTGGCATCGCTGTGGAGGGACAACATTTAACCCGCCATGAGAAGGTCTAAGGTCTCTAGATTTGGAGAAAGTGCCGCCTGCTCTCCCTTCCTCCTCCCCCTTCCTCCTTGACTCTTTTGTGCGCTGGACTTCCGCTGGTCTTCCCCTAGCAGTGTTGCGTGCTGGACTTCTTCAAATGAAATGTAACCAGATGAAATGTCAGATCAAACGGCAGATGACCTATTAGATATCATTCGGAATATATGTCAGCAGGGTTACCGACAGACATAGTTGCTACCAGGAGATAAGTATAATATATAGATATCAAATGATATCAACAGTTTTTGCATGTTTTTGCTTTGCTGCTGCGCATGTTCGCAGTCAGAACGCATGCCATAATACTTGATGCTGCACAAATGTCAGAACAGGCGTCGGAATCACATGCCAGAACACATGCCAGAACAAATGTTGGAACCCTTGTCAGACGTGATGCCAGACCACATGTTATAGTATATAGATTTGATGGCAGAACAAACAAGTGTCATCAGAACCCAACAAACGTCGGAACACGTGTCAGACTTTCAGCAGGAGAAGTGTCCGAACACATACCAAAAAGGACATCAGTTCACATTCCAGAACATTTCCCTGCCTTTATGCCAGATGATGTGCTGGAACACATACCAGACTTGATGCCAGAACAAATGTGTCTGTTTGTTTTCACACTGTGTCAATGCACATGTCAGGCAGCTTTTTTCCAGAGAGTCTGTTAAAACATGTGCAAGGTAAGGTTCAGGTAATTGCAATGCATTAGTTCATGGTTTAAGTACTCCAATTCCCGACACCTCCCAGCTGCGTTCGGCCGGCCTTTCGGGTTTTGGGGAGCTTTGGCAGCGGCCCAAAGTGGCACGGCGCCCCGAGGACATCCCAAGAGGCCACAAGTGCCGCGTGCGACTGGTCCGGCGCTCGTCGGGCGAAGCGACGAAGCCGACGGAAAAAGGCTGTGCCCGGGGTGTCTTTTTGGAAACAAATGTACTTTTGGGGCCTGAAGTAGATGGCAAGATTGATGCTTTCAGTATGTACTCGTAAGACGCTAATTGATATTATATTTTTTTCGATAAGCTTGAAAAGTTGACCAACCCCCCAAAAAACGATGTTCGACACATGGTGTACACCCAACTAGCCCTAGACCATGCTGGACCCTTACGGGGTAGCCCTAGACCATGCAGTCAATGCTTCGATGAACAGGACCGCGCCCTTCGTGGCATTCCGAGCGCAGCGGGCGCCGCGGTGCGGCAGACACCCTCTTGGCCACTCGGACGAAAGTGGAGACGGATGGAGTTTGTCCTACCTGTAACAGTCAGCTAAACAAGCAATCACTAGTTTTTGGAACAAGGCCTGCAACTGAACCATCATCCACTGGGCCCAGGTATTAGGATAGACCAAAGGTTTGGAAGTGTAGCCATGTAGCTTTGGACACCTGGTCGCATGGTCCATCGATCCGGACCATCCTGGACCTGCAAACCAGTTCGGAAAAACACGGAAAGCGGAGCAGCTGCATTTTATTGCTGGGTAGTCGGACCTCTTTTTTTCATGGCTTTAACGGTGTTGTACGTACACTACGCAGAAGACCACCTGCCCAAGTCGAACGGCAGAGAAAACAAGTATATAACCTTACACTTGTCGGACCTAAGTCTGTCGGGTTTTTACGATGTTATACGCACATGACGCAAAAAGACTACCTGCCCAAGTCAAACGGCAGAGAAAAACAGCCAAGTCGACGAACATCGCCGCAAAAAAGTAAAATAACAGCAGCAAAGCCTTCAACATAGATCCCACAGCCCCAATCACTTCCAACATACCTCCACGAGAAGCCCCAACAGAGCCCCAACATTGGGCGAAACGTGCCAACATGGAGAAGGATATGCCCTAAGAATGCACCAAGATCGCCGAAGATTGGTGCAAACATGCCCCAAATTTGACTGCCCATTGGAGCAAGCGTTCGTAAGCAACAAAAACGACAAAACTGTCAAAGCCACCTTTCTTACACTTGTCGGACCTCATTTTCATGGATTTATGGCGTTTTACGCACAGCACGCAAAAAACCACCTGCCAAGTCAAACAGGGCAGAGAAAAAGCAGCCAAGTGGACCAACATGGCCGCAAAACATAACAGCAGCAAAGCCTTCAACATAGCCCTGATCTAGACCCCACGGCCCCAATCACTTCCAACATACCTCCACGAGAAGCCTCAAGAGAGCCCCAACATTGGGTGAAATGTGCCAATATGGAAAAGGGTATGTCCCAAGAATGCACCAAGATCGCCGAAGATTGGCACAAACATGCCTCAAATTTGACCACCCACTGGAGTAAGCTTGCATAAGCAACAATAACGACCAAAAATTGTCAAAACCACCTTTCTTACACTTGCCGGACCTCATTTTTCATCGTCTATAATGTTATATATAGTGCTTTACACACACTACGCAAAAGACCACCTGCCCAAGTCAAACCGCAGAGAAAAAGCAGCCAAGTGGACCAACATGGCCGCAAAACAAGTAGCATAACAGCAGCAAAGCCTTCAACATAGCCCTGATCTAGACCCCGCAGCCCCACTCACTTCCAACATACCTCCACGAGAAGCCTCAAGAGAGCCCCAACATTGGGCGAAACAATAACATAACAGCAAAGCCTTCGACATAGCCCTGATCTAGACCCCACGGCCCCAATCACTTCCAACATACCTCCACGAGAAGCCTCAAGAGAGCCCCAACATTGGGTGGAGTGCTCCAATATGAAAAAGGATATGTCCCAAGAATGCACCAAGATCGCCGAAGATTTTCAAAACCACCTTTCTTACACTTGTTGGACCGCATTTTTCATTTTTGTGTTTCACACGGACTACGCAAAAAACCACCCGCCCAAGTCAAACTGCAGACAAGTGGACCAAAACAGCAGCAAAGCCTTCAACATAGCCCTGATCTAGACCCCACGGCCCCAATCACTTCCAACATACCTCCACGAGAAGCCTCAAGAGAGCCCCAACATTCTTGGGAGTGCTCCAATATGGAAAAGGATATGTCCCAAGAATGCACCAAGATCGCCGAAGATGGGCACAAACGTGCCCCGACGTTGACCACCCACTGGAGCGAGCTTTCATTAAGACAGAGCAGCAAAAACGACAAAGAAAACTATCAAGAGCACTTTTCTTATACTTGTCGGACCTCAATTTTTTCATTGTTTTTTACAGCGTTTTACGCGCGCTACGAAAAAGACCACGAGCCGAAGTCCAACAGGAGAGAAAAAGCAGCTAAAGGATATGTCCCAAGAATGCACCAAGATCGCCGAAGACTGGCACAAACGTGCCCCAAATTTGACCACCCACTGGAGCAAGCTTGCATAAGCAACAAAAACGAAAAAAGAAACTGTCAAAACCAACTTTCTTACACTTGTCGGACCTCATTTTTCATGGTACATAATTCTGCTTATAGTGCTTTACACACACTACACAAAAGCTTGCTCCAGTGGGTGGTCAAAATTGGGGCACGTTTGTGCCAATCTTCGGCGATCTTGCTACATTCTTGGGGCATATCCTTTTCCATATTGGCGCATTTCACCCGATGTTGGGGCTCTCTTGAGCCTTCTCGTGGATGCAAGCTTGCTCCAGTGGGTGGTCAAAATTGGTGCACGTTTGTGCCAATCTTCGGCGATCGTGGTGCATTCTTGGGGCATATCCTTTTCCATATTCGCGCATTTCACCCAATGTTGGGGCTCTCTTGAGCCTTCTCGTGGAGGTATGTTGGAAGTGATTGGGGCCGTGGGGTCTAGATCAGGGCTATGTTGAAGGCTTTGCTGCTGTTATGTCACTTGTTTTGCGTCCACTTGGCTGCTTTTTCTCTGCTGTTTGACTTCGGCACGTGGTCTTTTTCGTAGCGCGGGTAAAACACTGTAAAAACATTGAAAAATGAGGTCCGACAAGTGTAAGAAAAGTGGTTTTGATAGTTTTCTTGGTCGTTTTTGCTGCTTTGTCTTATGAAAGCTTGCTCCAGTGGGTGGTCAAATTCGGGGCACGTTTGTGCCAATCTTCGGCGATCTTGGTGCATTCTTGGGACATATCCTCTTCCGTATTGGAGCACTCCACCCAATGTTGGGGCTCTCTTGCGGCTTCTCGTGGAGGTATGTTGGAAGTGATTGGGGCCGTGGGGTCTAGATCAGGGCTATGTTGAAGGCTTTGCTGCTGTTATGTTACTTGTTCTGCGGCCATGTTGGTCCACTTAGCTGCTTTTTCTCTGCGGTTTGACTTGGGCAG